AGGTCAGAGGCTTGCTCTGCTTTCTTTGTCTCTCAAGCCTGAACAAGACAAGACTACTTCCATTTAATTTCCCTCACAAGCCAACAGCAGGCCCCTCCCCGGGTCTACTCTCCAAATCCCACGTTCCAGCACCCAGCATCCATGCGCACTGGCAAACACCTGTCTCAGGCTGGGGCGTGCAGGACCGTGGCCCAGACCATCTATGTAGGTCTCACTCTGTCCTGTCTGTGACAGACCAGTTATTGGACTACCCTCTGAACCCCCAAGGCTCTCCTCTGCTTCAGCTCATCTCCCTGCTGGTAAGAGGCCCTCCCCAGACGCAGGGGCCTTTTCATGCCTTCGGCTCCCCACGAGGGTGCAGGTGTAATCCTGCTTCCTCTCCTCTGCCTTTGCCTTCTCCCTTTCACCCTACCCATCACGTGGGGGTCTCTCTGGTCCTTTTAGGTGCCCACGGTCCTCTGTTAGTGTTCGGCAGGTGCTCTGTGGTAACTGCTTCACGTGTAGATGTCTCCTTGATACATTTGTGGGGAGAGAGAAACTCCATGTCCTCGTACTCCTCCACCATCTTGGAAAAATCCCATCTCCCTTTTAAGAAAAGTATTCTTTTAATTTTTTCCTGGAATCTTATATTCAGGTAGGAAATGTTGGTGGGCACTATTAATATCATGTTTTGATGTTGAAATAAGGAGAGATGTTACTAGACAGTTAGTATCACTTCACTGGTTTCCACCTCTGATGGCCCTTTGATCAACCCCATTGCCTTCTGGAACAGGCCTATAGAGGTTTTAAGAGTAGGAGGCTGTGTTGTTACTTTTCTGCAAGATGGATCTATGTGGCTAAGCTTCTGAGTAGCTGAATCTTAGCTATGAAGATGCAAAAACTCTCACATCTGATTGATGTCAGTTTCTAAATCCACATAACCACTTGTGATAACAACATGAAGATGACAGCAGGCCAGTGGTTGTTGAGTACTTACTCCATATGCTGGGCCCTATGCTAGTAAGGACTTTGTAAACATTTTTTCATTTAATCCACAAAAAGCCTCTGTGAGCATCCTAATTCCCATCTTATTTATGTGGAAGCTCAGAGAATGTAACTTGCCTGAGATCACACTGTGAGTTATCACATCAGATCCAAGACACAAAGGTCCATGGGTCTCTCAGATCCTGAAACTTATTCATTACATTAGATCTGGATTCAGAAAGCATCCTTTGGTGTAGAATTTGGGGAAATCTCAGTTCTTTGGACTTTTTCTCTATAATAAACTCTGTCATTTGATTTACAGGCAAGAACTGTCAGACCATATTGGCTCCCTGTTCCCCAAACCCTTGTGAGAATGCTGGTATTTGCAAAGAGGCACCAAATTTTGAGAGTTACACCTGCCTGTGTGCTCCTGGCTGGCAAGGTAACAGCGTCGGAATGTAGAAACCAAGAGCATTTAACAGAGTGATCTGGTTATTTGATGACATAACCTTTTTTTGTCAAGAACACAGACCTTATATAAAAGCTGAAGCTGCTAACTGGAATGTTTTAGACAGACTTTCCATTTTACATGTCTTTGCCACCCCCTAGTGGCTGGAAGACTCCAACCAGAGTCTGAAGCTTTGATGTTCTCTGTAGAATTTTAGCATCTGGGCGGCAACTTGCTCCGGGACTGAAACTTGAAGGGACTTCCCAAAGCTGGAGACCAGACAGAATATCCTTGCAGCAGCCCCACCCACCCCAGCTAAAGCCCAGCCCCCACATACATTTCTGTGTGGGAATCGACTTCCAAGGACTGGACCGTTCATTGCCCCCTTGTTTCCAGGTCAGCGATGTACCATCGACATTGATGAGTGTGTCTCCAAGCCCTGCATGAACCATGGTCTCTGCCATAACACCCAGGGCAGCTATATGTGCGAATGTCCGCCAGGCTTCAGTGGCATGGACTGTGAGGAGGACATTGATGACTGCCTTGCCAGTGAGTACTCCAGCCTGCTCCTGAGCCCCTGGGGGAGAGCAGAGCCGAGGGAACAGAGCAGGGTGTGGTGGGGGCACGTGCCTCTCGGTGCCGAGGCTGGCCATCCAACAGTTGATCACCTGTCTTTAATCTTCGTATTTTAAAAATCTTCATTTTGAAGCTAGTGGCTTTAGGAATTAATACACGGGAATCACTTTTAACCATTGCCTTACTGATTTTTGTACATTGTCAAAGTGGGGACAATGATATGAAAGCTTCTAATAAAAAGCAGATCTCTTGAAGTATAATTAAGTATACAACACACTGCCAGTATTTAAATGAACCAGTCCAGTAAGTTTTGACACACGACAACTGAAACCAGTATTTAAGATACTGATCACATTCATCCCCCTGAATGTATTTCATCTCTTGTAACGTGACCCTCCTTTCTACTTTCCTGTCTCAGGCAACTAGGGATCTACCTCTGTCACTGTAGATTTGTGTTTTTTTACAGTTTTATTTTTCTCTGAGAGCTCTACTTGGCCCTGTACATCTTAGGGGAATCTTTTCATTCTGACTGGTATAAACGTGAACTGTGCTCAGCCTAGTGTAAACTTTAGGGATTGTTCTGCCTACTTCTTTCTAGTGGTTTTTTACCCAGCTTTAGTAGTTTCAACATATGAATGTGATGTACTTATCAGTACAGTCATCTCTCAGTATCTGAGGGTACTGGTTCTAGGACCCCCGTGGATACTAAAATCTGAAGCTGCTCAAGTCCCTTATATAAAATGGTATAGTATTTGCCTATAACCTATGCACATACTCTTGTATACTTTAAATCATTTCTTAATTACTTGTAATACCTAATGCAATGTAAGTGCTATGTAAATATTTACTGGTACATGGCAATTTCAAGTTTAGCCTTTTGGAACTTTCTGGGATTTAAAAAAAATTTTTTTTCTGTCCTTGGTTGGTTGAATCCATGATTGTGGAACACATGAATATGGGGGGCCGCTTGTATTCAGTTACTTGTGTGGTGATTAAATCATTAAACTTCAGACGAGCTTATCATAGTGCATCTGGAATAATGGCATCTTAATTCACAGCATATATCATTTCAAATTATCATATGGATGGCACTATACTAGGGGCTGACAGTACCAGTATAAATAAAAGCTTACATTTATGAAACTTATAGTCTCCTAGGAAATAAAGACAGACAGACAAATAATTCCAACATTATATGACTAATAGTGAAAAAAATATGGCCAAGGTACAACTGATAGATAAATTTAAGGGAGTAGGATCAAACTATTTGGATTCCTTTCCCACATTAATTAGTATATCAGTCAAATTTCTACTATTTAAACATTTTTTCCTATTTGAAGACAGACTAACAATATTTGCAACTAGTTTAAAATTATTCAGTAAATTACTGTGAGTTGCTTGAAAGGTGCTATGGAAATTACAGTAGCTGTGTACTGTTATGTATAACAGAGATACATGACTTCTAGAGTTGTTCCAGTAGAAACTGCAAATGAGCCTTAGAAATTAGCCTAATAGATGACTAAGGTATAAATCTCTCTCTTATAAAATAAGGACTGCGTTACCCACCTGGTATTTTGTTCTCTCTTTATGTTTATCACCTGTCTTTAATTATATTTCAAGTTCCTTAAGACCAGGAGTCACATCTGACTTCTCTTGTTCTGATTCGAGTCCCATCTGTGTTGCAGAGCACTGTGCCATGATAACAGCTCAGAACTTCTTGATTAACTGCTATGGCTATGAACTGTTCCCTAAGATCAAACTATGTGATGCTTAAAATTTAAAAATGCTCGTTTCCTAGTTGTATGTAAATCTAAAAAACAACAAACAAAAACAAGAAAGGGAAGCAGGAATAGAGGGAGGGAAAAGAAAAGGTTGGTCAGCACAAGGGGACTAATTGATACCTATCCCATCCCTAGTTTTATGAGTATTAATTTTGCAAAACAGTGAGTGTTGCAGGTAAAGTTCTTTCCAGCTATTAAACAGATTCTTATTAAGAGTCTCAGGCAAGTGTTACTACATTCATTTTTGTAAATGGAGGAGTTAGGGCAAAATAGATGTAAAGAAATGTCAGAATTGTTCCTGTTAGTGTGGCTCAGTTCAAGGTACTCAGCTTTACGAGTCTAAGGTTAAATGGATGCTGCTGTTCAGAGTTCTGATTCTCGTGTGCCGTGGCCTAGATCCTTGCCAGAATGGAGGTTCCTGTGTAGATGGAGTGAATACTTTCTCCTGCCTGTGCCTTCCGGGCTTCACTGGGGATAAGTGTCAGACAGACATGAATGAGTGTCTGAGTGAGCCCTGTAAGAACGGAGGGACCTGCTCTGACTATGTCAACAGTTACACCTGCAAGTGCCCGGCGGGCTTTGGCGGAGTCCACTGTGAGGACGACATCGACGAGTGCACCGAGAGGTGAGCAGCCCGCGCCCTCGGCGCAGTGTCTTATGGGACAAGGGAGGGGGCGGAGCCTGCAGAGCTCTCTACTGGGACTGAGGGGCCGCGTAAGGCATCTCCTTGGATGCCCCCACACGGTCATCTCCTGTTTTCTGCTTTCTAATTCCTTGTAGACATCTGGTTACAAGTTCAAGGCAGAGGTTGAAAAACTTAGTGAGATGAATCATCATTTACTTCTTACCTAGGGAACAGAGAGTGCTATAGTTCTATTTCATCTCCTTTTGGTTTCTTGTTAATTTCACTTGACAAAAAAATCCTACTTCTTTACAGATTTGTTGTCCCTCTTTAAGTAATTTCTGGGAGGTTTGATCCTTTTTTTATTATCAACAAATTTGTTCTGTTTCTCTTCCATAAAGAAATACAGAATCAAGAGCTATTTATTTGATATGTTCCTTATAAATTGAATTGACTTAGAGATAAAATGAAATGTGTTACATGGAGAGCTACAGAAGGTCTGGGTAAAACCTGGAAGCCTTCACTTTCTCTTGGAGTCTCTAATAAGCTCAGACTTTTAAATACTCCTCAGATCTTTTTGGTTGTGGAAAGGAAGCTGAGACTCATGCTGATTGGTGCCCATTCTAGTTTGGAAGAAGGTAAAGTTTACTGGATATAGGAGTGTCGGGTGCTCGAGTGTTTCCTTCTGTAATATCTTAGATGTGGGGAACCTTACTTTTAAAATAGCAGGTCAGAGGATCCAGATTATCTAGCTGATGTTGTTCTTCCTGTGTGCTTCTCAGCTCCTGTTTCAATGGTGGCACGTGTATCGATGGGATTAACTCATTCTCTTGCTTGTGCCCTGTGGGCTTCACCGGTTCCTTCTGCCTCCATGAGATCAATGAATGCAACTCTCATCCATGCCTGAATGAAGGAGTATGTGTTGATGGCCTGGGTACCTACCGCTGCATCTGCCCATTGGGCTACACTGGAAAAAACTGTCAGGTAGTTCGATTTCATCCCATTAATTCAGCTCCTGCAGAATGGTTGAATGTTACACCTGTTCTTTCCTAGGCAAAATGAGCCCCACCTAAAAGAGAAAATTCAGGGTCTTAGGAATGTATCCAAAATAAATCTGTACAGTTTATTAATTATACTTCTAAGATAACTAGGTTAATCTAAGTTCTTAGATAACTTCTGAGAACCACCAACTTCTTAACCTGGTAGATTTGATACTGGCAAGATTATGTGGGTTAATGCACATAAAATTGTTACAGAAGGCTAACCTAGAGCTGCAGAAAATGCATATGGGAAATAAGCACATTGATATTATTTAGGAAAACAAAAAGGGAAATAAAGAACTATCAAAATAACAGTTTTTAAAATTCAGATACAACATCTAAGGGGATAATGATAATTATGCCCTACAATGTTGTTAACAGTCTCAAAACCAAACTATTCACATGTATTTCAAATTCAAATATTTAATATTCATTTTCATAGACTCTTAGGATGGAAGGGCCCCTCAGAGCCTACTAGTCTAGCCTTTCATTTCTTGAAAGAATACATTGAGCCTGAGAGGGTCAAAGTAACTTTTCTAAGGTTTCACATGAAACAGCATTGTGTGTAATTTTATGCAGTTTTACCTCTCAAACAATGGTGGAATGATAGAATGTCATACCAGCAGTCCAAAGAATTTATAAATAAATGCCCAAATGTAACTAGCCTTTCAGAGTACACTTCAGTGAAGCTTTGGCTGTATTGGACATGCAGATAAGCACCTCTGCATATTAAACAGCTTATTGATGATTCTCTGGATCGGGAGGCTCTTCTTCATGGGGCTTCTGCTGTTCTTACAGCGTGATGGCCCTCTGCCCTTCCCCCTCCTTCACAAATGGTCAGTGTTGTGAGTATGGCCTTCCTCTCCCCAGGAGCCAGGCCACCACATGTGAGTTTTGGGGAAGGTGCTAGTCCACTTGCACCCTTTGCCTCTTGCTTCTCAGAAGCCTGAGTTTCTCCCATCAAAATAAGTTCTTTGTTTTGTGGCTAGGTTCTTTTGTGCCATATTTTAGAGTCCACACATGTGATAGCATGGTTTTTCTCTTTCTGACTTGACTTTGCTTAGTATGATAATTTCTAGTTCAACCCATATTGCTGCAAATGGCATTCTTTCATTCTAGTAGGAGTCCATTTTGTGTATGTACCACATTTCCTTAATTCATCTGTCAATGGACATTTAGGTTATTTCTGCTGCTGCTGCTGCTAAGTCATTTCAATCGTGTCCGACTCTGTGCAACCCCAGAGATGGCAGCCCACCAGGCTCCGCCGTCCCTGGGATTCTCCAGGCAAGAACACTGGAGTGGGTTGCCATTTCCTTCTTCAATGCATGAAAGTGAAAAGTGAAAGTGAAGTCGCTGAGTTGTGTCCAACTCTTAGCAACCCCATGGACTGCAGCCTACCAGGCTCCTCCGTCCATGGGATTTTCCAGGCAAGAGTACTGGAGTGGGGTGCCATTGCCTTCTTCATTAGGTTATTTCTATGTCTCAGCTGTTGTAAATAGTGCTACTAGTAGTACTGTCAACATACAGGGGTGGATACACAACAGGGTCCTGCTGTATAGCACAGGCGACTATAGTCAGTATCCTGTGATAAGCCATAATAGAAAAGATTATTAAAAAAAGAATGTCTATATGTGTATAACTGAGTAACTTTGCTGTACAATAGAGATTAGCACAGCATTATAAATCAACTATACTTCAATAAAAAGGTTTTTATTTTTTATTTTTTACTAACAGTAAAAAAGTAAGCTTTTTGACAGTTTTTAGGTTTATTAGTAGGCTTTAAGCCTTTAAATCCTGAATTCATATTCACCACAGACAGATTTGATCAAGCCCACGTGATTTCTCACTCAGGAGTAGCGCATAGAAGCTATAGACCTATCTGACAGCTTTAACTCTCTTTCTAGCCCCACAGGGTGGCCATCCTTCTAGACATAAGTGTGATGTAGGGGACAACTTAACCAATTAAGTTCCTCAAAGTCTTAAACTTATCTGGTAAGAATTTTTGAATAGCAGAGCTAAAAGAATTAGACTGTATAAAATGATTGGCTTATCTGGGGACAGTGAATCTAAGTTTAAGACTTGGGTGAGGGCTCTTTGTTTTTATTAATTGGTGTGCTTTCCTTTGAGTTCTTAAAGTGCAGTGTAACTTTTTTTCCTTCCTGGTGTCTGAATGTTGATGTATGTGTCTGCCTCTGTTTCAGACCCTGGTGAACCTCTGTAGTCGGTCTCCCTGTAAAAACAAAGGCACCTGCATTCAGGATAAAGCAGAGTCACGGTGTCTGTGTCCGTCTGGGTGGGCTGGCGCTTACTGCGATGTGCCCAGCGTCTCCTGTGAGGTGGCGGCCTCCCACAGAGGTGAGCTCTGCCCCGAGGCTCAAGGGTCAGTCCATGAAGTACTGACTAACGAGCAGCACTGTAGGGCAGGAGCTGTTGTTGTGGGAGGAGAGGGAAGGGCAGACGGGAATGAATGGGCAAGCCTCTGGAGAAGGGGTCTGAAATGGGAGGTGAAGGCAGGGGGGCAAGTCCAGAGATTCCAAAAAGGAGTGTATTTGACATAGAAGGACGGCTTGTTCCACTTCAGCACTGGCTTCTTTTTTTAACATATTTATTTTTAGTTGAAGGATAATTGTTTTACAGTATTGTATTGGTTTCTGCCATACAGCCACATGAATCAGCCATAAGTATACATATGTCCCCCCCGCCCTTGAACCTCTCTGCCACCTCCCACCTCATCCCACCATTCTAGGTTGTCACAAAGCCCCGTTTTGAGTTCCTGAATCATGCAGCAAATTCCCACTGGCTACCTGGTTTACACATAGTAGTGTTTATGTTTCCATGCTTCTCTCTCCATTGGTCCCACCTGTCCTTCCCCAGTGCCCCCTGGCTCCAGGTCCATGAGCCTGTTCTGTGTATCTGCATCTCCATCGCTGCCCTGCAGCTGGGTTCATCAGTACCATCTTTATAAATTCCACATATATGCAGCACTTATTCATTTTTAACATAAAACAGATCCTGAGGGTTGTGAACTAGACAAGAATAAAATATGACATGTCAGCCAACTTAGATTAGTTCACCTGAGCCTGACGTGTTGTGTGCTGTTCCGTGATGTTCCTTCCTGGGTTTCCCAGGGGTGCCCGTTGACCGCTTGTGCCAGCACTCAGGCGTCTGCATCAGTGCGGGCAACTCGCATCACTGCCAGTGCCCCCTGGGCTACACCGGAAGCTACTGTGAGGACCAGCTTGATGAGTGCTCGTCCAATCCCTGCCAGCACGGCGCCACCTGCCGGGACTTCATTGGTGGATACAGATGTGAGGTGAGTAAGAGGAGCAGGCAGAGGTCAGAGACCTTCCAGAAGATGGCATACCTCTTACAAACAGGGGCATATTGAGTTTAGCTGCTATGTCTACTTTTCACAATTTATAGATTTCTTTTCTTTTTACCAATCATGATTACATTGTTTTCTAATCATTCTTTCAGTACCCTGTGCATTAACTTAGAAGAGCTCTGGTAAGCTGTTTTCACAGAAGTCTGGAGCCATCTTACTTCCACAGGATTGCTTCCAGAATCCAGAGCTTACATATTCTTCCAGGGTGCATTTCCCAGCCTACCCAGCCCAGTGGCCCCTGGTACTTCCCTGAACAAGCAGTTGAGATAGGACAAGCCACTTTGAGGAGTGGCCCTTTGACCCATGTCATCTTTGTAAACAGTCATTGGTCAATCAACTAATAATTCTCTCAAAAAAATGTTACTCACCCTGTTCTGTGTAGCATCATACTGTTACATGTGTATATTTGAGGGTGTATGTATCTTTTAAGGGATGTATCATTGTCTTCTGCATGCTGCAGTCCATGGGCTCACAAAGAGTCTGACACAACTTAGCAACTGAACAACAATAGCAACAAAATCATTGTCTTCTTAATGTCTGGGCTGATAATAATTAGATCAAACTGTTGACGAAAGACCAGAGACATGAATTTGATACCAGTTTAGGCCACCAAGCAACACTGAGAAAAACTCTTGCTTCTCTGCTTCTCATACATGAGCCAAAGATGGCTTCAGTATATTGGTCCCTGTTTCTTATTTTTAGCTCAAAAGCCACTGGCACCAAACTCAAATTTTTACACATCCAATTGTTTTAAACATAGCCCTAAGAAGTAGAATTTATTCACTTAGGGATTGCCTGCTTTATATGTTCTGAAAAACTGCACCTGCCACTGCTAGCCATAGGTAAGATGAGCCCAAGGATGTGAAGATACCAAGGCACTGCTGTCCTTCAGAGCTCTGTGACCCAGAGACTCTGGCCTGGCTGCCGAGTCGTATCACCAAACGTGTAAGCCCCCTCTCTGTTACCCTCTTCCCTCTGAGTTCATCTGCCCTCCTCCTCTTATCCTTTTTTATATCTCTAGGAGTCACATCTCTATTAAGGTTTGCATGACAAGTCCAATGAAAGATGTTAAAGTTATTCATATGCAGTTTGCACTATTAATTGAACATCTTTTTATTCAGCCTATACACAGATCTTTGTTTTGAGCTCTCAGAAGTACTCAGACAACGTTTTGTAACTGCTGCTGTTGCTTTATAGGTTCACCAAAAATGGCATTAAAAACAAAGTAAGGAGATGTTGCATAGTTTTAAACCAGAAGGTAGCACTTCTTACTTATAAAATTTGATAGCTATACTGGGAAGCATACAGCAATCAATTACAGTAATTTTGCTGTGAGGGACTCAAAGCATTGCCCAAACAGAGCCACTTCATGGGCAGTATTTTCTTCCTTGATCAGCCCTGAAAGCCCTAGAATGCCTACATCTAGCACAGCTAGCTTGCCCACCTCTTGCTGCCCCCACCCCTACATCAGCCAGTTTCTCACACATAAACATGTAGTTTTCTGAACCTGGGGATCGGTAAATACACGCGTTATCTTTACTACCATCCACATGTACCATCCACATGCACCATTTCTGTGAGCCACCAGGTCCTCATCACATACAAAGGAATGAATGTTTTAAAGATGGGAAAACCTACACACAGAAGGGATGGATGGCTTTCGCACAGGCATCATTTGAGAGATCCCTCAGAATATTCAGTCCTTGCCTTCCTTTTCAAGTGGCTTTTTTGGCTAGAAGTGATAAATGCCAGTGAGCAGTGCGTTGACTGCACGAGGTAGTGAGCAGGGAGTGTGATGACACCAGAGACGCGTGCAAGAGCTGGGCGGGGTTTGGCAGAAAAGGGTCACAGTAACATGCCCGATTTCATTTGCTCTCATGATACGCGTCCAAAAATAGTCCAACTTTCTTGTTCTTTTGCTTTGCTCTTGGCAGTGTGTCCCTGGATATCAGGGTGTCAACTGCGAGTATGAAGTGGATGAGTGCCAGAACCAGCCATGCCAGAATGGAGGCACCTGTATTGACCTTGTGAACCACTTCAAGTGCTCCTGCCCACCAGGCACTCGGGGTATGAAATCAGCCTTACCTGTCTTCCATCCAGGGCATTCTCTAAGTTATAAATGCATTTTTAGTCTCGTGAAGGGATTTTTAAAACAAGATTCAGCATTAATCTGAATCTTAGAGATTCAAGCCATTTCATTGCTCTCTTGCCAAGCTCTGGTGTTCTGATGCCTGTTCTCAATTCTGTCTGGTTGTTGTGGAAACCCATGAAACACAGAATGTGCAAATGACATAATGTTGCAGCAAAGTTAATCTGGCTAGCAAGATCTCTTGGTGCTTTGAGGGAAAACAACCAGTAGCCTCTTGAAAAATTTATTTGTATTTACCAGCTCGTGTATTTTTCTAAACTTCCAAACCTTGCCTCCATAAAGTGGGAAAATGAATGAAATGAAAACATTTGCCTATTTTCTTTAGCCCAAGGGGAGAAGGTTGATGGTCCAAGAATGAACTAAGAATTACATTAAGACCTAAGGAGATACAGCCCTAGACGGTGGATGGTGGAGCCGTCATTCCACCAGGGGCATTCCCCTGCCTGCAAACAGTCTCCTGGAAAGAGCTTGAAGTATTATTTTTTAGAAGAGATGTAGTTAGTTATAATGGTGCCTGCTCTGAGCAGCATGTGAAAAGAAAAAGCTATCCACAATGATGGAAAATTGATTCTCATCAAAGAGAATAGAATGTTAGAGAAATATTTATACTGTTTTAAAGCATTGGGTCAGTGAATTTTGGGTTTCCTTCTTGAGTTCAGAGTTGGCTAAATTAGTATGGAAAAGTGCCCCAGTAGTAGGCTAGTTATTGAGCAGTGAGATTAACAGGGAAGACAGAACTAAGGAGAAACAGCCTTTAAATATTTGAAGATTTGTTCCATTAAAGGAGAGTTGTTTTCTGCTCAGTACTTGAAAGAGAAGTAGAGGTTAATTTTAATTACTTCTAGAGGTAATATTATCCATTAACAATCCTGTTAATATTTTTATTGAGGTCACATTAAATTTATGAATTTGTATAAAGAAGACTGACATCTTTAGCATGAGGAGTCTTCCTAACCAACCCATTGTGTCTTTCTGTTTATTCAAGTTTCCTTTTGTGTCTTTTAGGTCTGCTTTAAAGTCTTCATGTAGGTGTAGTATAATAATACTAACTATGCCCTAAGGGATTGCTTCATCACTGGATTGTGTGGGGAGTACATGTGAAGCCCTGAGTACATTCTTTGCTTACTGGTGCCCAAAAGGATGGCCACTATCCTGGGTCAAGGGTGTATTATGCGCTGCCTGACGGAAATGGTCCCACCACAGGCTGAGGAACGTAGCCTAACTAATTGTGAAAATGCCACCAGGGCTGGTTTTCCCTTCCTGGAAGGCAGCGTTCCAAGAACTGTCATAATTTTCTCTCCCTCCTCTTTCTCCTCCAGGCCTGCTTTGTGAAGAGAACATTGACGACTGTGCCAGGGGCCCCCACTGCCTTAATGGTGGCCAGTGTGTAGACAGGATTGGGGGCTACAGTTGTCGCTGCTTGCCAGGCTTTGCTGGAGAGCGCTGTGAGGGGGACATCAACGAGTGCCTGTCCAACCCCTGCAGCTCTGAGGGCAGCCTGGACTGCATACAGCTCACCAACGACTACCTGTGCGTCTGCCGCAGCACCTTCACTGGTGAGCCGAGCTCCTTGCCAGATGCCCCAGCCACTCTGCCTCGAGCTGGGGTGGGGGTTTCAGTGAGGAAACTAGGCCCTGCATGACACATCCCAGACCCAAGGGAAGCTTTTCTGGCCCATGGACTGTAGCCCGCCTGGCTCCTCTATCTATGGGATTCTCCAAGCAAGAATACTGGAGTGGGTTGCCATTTCCTTCTCCAGGGGATCTTCCTGACCAGGGATCAGACCTGGGTCTCTTGCATTGCAGGTAGATTCTTTACCGTCTGAGCCACCAGGCAAGCCCACAGGTAGTCGTTGGTGAGCTGTATGCAGTCCAGGCTGCCCTCAGAGCTGCAAGGGTGAAAATCTAGACCAGCTTCATTCAAGGGCCCAACATTTTCTTAGGTCTGTGCTCCACAGGTGTTTGTGTCTCCTGAGAGATGCCATCTCTTTTGTTATACATTAATTACATCATATCATAGCAGAAATATGAAAAAAAGAAATAGAATGTTGGGAGTAGTTGAGCAAAGTAACATGTTTAAATTGAGGTAAAATATACATAAATAAAGTTTACCATCTTTACCATTTTTAAGTATACAGTTCACTGGTATTGAGGACATTCACATTGTTATGCTACCACCACCACCATCCATCTCTAGAACTCATTTCATCTGAGCAAAATAACATCTCATGTTCAGGAACTTTACATCTAACTCTGGTTTTGTCACCCTGCCTCCTGTGGCATGTAGCGACTTGAATGACTGGGTGGTTGCTGCCATAGTGATCTTTCTACATCTCTGGGATCCAAAGAAGCTTACGGTCTTCTCAGACACTTAAAGGGAATAGATTCAAATTGGGCTATATTTAACCAAAAATCAACTAATGAGGGTATGAACAGGAAAACTTCGGAGGTCACAAGCAGGGCCTGCACACTAAGACTTGGCTGTGTTCATCACAAATTACAAAGATGAGTGAGTCCTGCCTCAGAATAGGGGTTTTATCATAGACAGTTACTAATTATTTCTGGAGAAGGGCAACTTGCTGACTTTGGGGGGCTAAAATAGCTGTTTATATCTAAATATGGCAGTACCATCAGTTACCTGGAAATCTGTCTTGCACTCCTGGGGTCAGTTCAAATCTTTTGCTATAGAAGTATTCTTTGGAAGTCAGATGAGAGTCTGCGTTAGTCTATGTACTAGTAATCTAGAAAGTTGAACTCTGCTACATTCTGGGCTTATTATATCCAGACATCCCACCCCCCCCCTCCAATTTTAAAGATATTTTACCTTTAAGAACTTTGGGATTTTATTTTAAAAAGGGAGGGGGATGGATTTTGAAATATGGAAAACACATAGGTACAGCATCAAAAGAGAAACAATCCATTATGAATGTCACACGTTTGAGGCAACCCTGGACAGAAAGACTATGAACAATCTGTCGTCTCATACTGGTCGTGATGTGCTTGAGAATTAGGAGACAACTGACTCCTGTTCCTTTCATTACATCTGAGGCTTCCTTTATCTGGAAATGCTGATGAGTCCTACAAAGAAAGAAGGAAATAGGTGAAAGGAGTGGAGACCACCTTGAATTGGGGTCCCGTAGCCAGAAGTGGTATTTCTACATTTTCCACACCTGTGAATTAAAAAATCCTTTGACTCTCAGTCACAATTATGGTGGGAATATTAAGCTATGGGGCTTTTCTGTATGTTTGCTTTAAATTTTTATTGGAATGTAATTACTTTGTAATGTTGTGTTAGTTCCTACTAACACAAGCTGTGTAGGTAACACTAACATAAGCTGTGTTTTTTAAAACAATGCCAGTAAGGTTACCAAAAGGCTGGAACATTATTGAAAACAGATGTCACTGATGAAAATTCAATATAAACTTCACATCAACATTTTAAAAAATTATTTTAATTGGAGGCTAATTACTTGACAGTATTGTGGTGCTTTTTGCCATTCAGTGACATGAATCAGCCACAGGTGTACATGTGTCCCCCGTCCCAAAAGTCTTTCCTTTTAATGTTTATTGCAGTATAGTTGATTTACAGTGTTGTGTTATTTTCTGCTCTACAGCAAAGTGAGTCAGTTACACATTTTTATCAGTCCACTCTATTTTAAATTATTTCCCCATACAGGTCATTGCAGAGTACTGAGTTAAGTTCCCTGTGCCATGCAGTAGGTTCTTATTAGTTATCGGTTTTATCTATAGTAGCATGTATATGTTAATCACTGTTTTAGATGTATTGGCCTGGTTTAGCCTGTTTTATGAAGTAGACAGTGTTAACAAAATGCAGTGAATTTTTGCTAAATGTTTTTGACTTATGAAAGGTAAAGTGCCTTCAAAAAAGCTTGGGTGTCTTTTGTTTTTGAGGGATTAGTCATTTTTTTGTACACATCTTGTTTAGTGAGTCAGTTCAGTCATGTGCCATTTGCCACTTATTACTGTAGACAAGACCGATGAGGGAACTGTCCTGAGTGGGTGATGGGCCAAGGATGTTGGGATCTAGCATGTGCCTTCCTCATCCTCTCCTGTCCCCTTAGACTTAGAACTCAATTCTCACACCTCTTGCTCCCTCTCTGATCCTTTGACTAGCTCACATCCCAGTAGTGTCCCCTTCAATAACCTGAGTTACTGCTTTCACCTTTTAAAACCCCCTTTCATTTTCTGCTCTGAGGTCGTCACTGTGAAACGTTCGTCGACGTGTGTCCCCAGATGCCTTGCCTGAATGGAGGCACTTGCGCTGTGGCCAGCAACATGCCTGATGGTTTCATCTGCCGTTGTCCCCCGGTGAGTGCCACGGTGCCTACTGAATTCCATGTAACCTGTGACAGAGCCGAGACGAAACCTGGCGTTTCCGAGCTCTGTGGGGAGCTTTCTTGGCGGGGACGTTTCTTAATGTTAGCTTCTTTAGGAGAAAGTGCTTCAGTTTTCCATTTAAAACTATTAAGATACTTCCAGAAACGGTGAGCTCCCTGATCTGTGACTGTCAATCCTCAGAAGCACTAAGGGCAATGGGATATTCCCTTGGGAACAGGGCTAGTGTATTTGGCTTCTGGGTCTTGCTGCCCAGACTAGGACAGAGTTATTGGAAATGCTACTCTGCTCACCTCCCTCGACAGCAGTTATTTGGGAACAGACTGCTTCTTCTACTAGAAGGAAGTCTAACGTTAGCCATTTGCTGTGCAAACACTTTTGCTCCTGCCAGAGACTAAAAGCTTCTTAACAGATGAGCGGAGGGATGTCAAAAGGCAACCTGTCCAGTAACCTTGGCCTGGACTGAGCGAAAAGTCCAAGAATGAAATGACAGCAAAGTGTTTTAGACAGATGTCTAAAATCCTCTGAAGTGAGTTTTTCCCCTGTAAAGTCATTGTATGAGTGATCTACTGATGATTTGGAAAGGTGCTAATAGGTTCGGTGTCACCTTATCCTAACATGAACTCCGGACTTCGTTTGTAGAAGCAGGCTCTTAGAGTAAAAAAGTTCTGTATTCATCCTGGAACCACCATCCTGACCTGTAGGTTGACTTGAAGAAGTCTCTTCCTAGAACTCAGTCCAGGAGGCCACCTGGAGGGATCTTAGCCAAGAGCCTAGTCTTTACCTGCCTAGAGGTGTGGCGGTGAGGGGGCTGGGGGGGAGAATGGGGCCTGCCCTCACGAGTCACCTGCCATCCTCATTTGTTCACTGATTCCCACAGGGCTTCTCTGGGGTGCGGTGCCAGAGCAGCTGCGGACAGGTGAAGTGCAGAAGAGGGGAGCAGTGTGTGCACACAGCCTCGGGCCCCCGCTGCTTCTGCCCCAACCCCCAGGACTGTGACTCGGGCTGCGCCAGTAGCCCCTGCCAGCATGGGGGGAGCTGCTACCCTCAGCGCCAGCCTCCGTACTACTCGTGCCAGTGTGCCCCGCCGTTCTGGGGCAGCCACTGTGAACTCTACACCGCCCCCACCAGCACCCCTCCCGCCACCTGTCTGAGCCAGTATTGTGCCGACAAAGCTCGGGACGGCATCTGCGATGACGTGTGCAACAGCCATGCCTGCCAGTGGGATGGGGGGGACTGTTCCCTCACCATGGAGGACCCCTGGGCCAACTGCTCCTCCCCGCTGCCCTGCTGGGAGTACATCAACAACCAGTGCGACGAGCTGTGCAACACGGCCGAGTGCCTGTTTGACAACTTTGAATGCCAGAAGAGTAGCAAGACGTGCAAGTAAGCGCCCAGGGTCCCCAGAAGTGGGGGACAGCGCTGTCACTGACACACTCGGCCTCTTGTTCTTTTGCTCCTACCCACTCCAGTGCTTCAGCCCAAGCCACCTCTGCCTTTTGGATTGGCACCCAGTTGCCCTCTTCTTCCTGGTGCCACCCTGCCCCATCGCACGCTACCTGTGCTCTCCCTTGCTGACCGAGGGGCAGGAGTGCTCACTGCACAGCCACTCTCTCTCTGCCTCTCTCTGCTTCCTCACCTGCTGCTGTCACAAGTTCCCAGGGGAAGTGACTTTTGGAAGTGTTACCCGCTGTCAGGCAGCCTCTCACATAATCTGCCTGCAGCATGGTTGCAAAGGTCTATACCCCTCTCTATTCATCCTGTGCCTTTCCCTAAGACTAGGTTTCCCTTCCAGATTTATCGGGAAGCATCTGCTAGATTAGTCAGCTTAACCCTCCTGGTCTTCACTGCTGCAATTATAGGGGGCTTTGTGGGTTACATAATAGCTTTCCATTTAGTCATCCCATTTGATTCAACCCTGATTAATTCTCAATCTTGTGAGGCCTAGGCGTTGTTAATGGCCTTTAACGGGCCAGGGAAGAGAGTTTGGGGAGGTTCAAGAACTTGGCAGAGCACATATAGCTCCTCCTGACTCCTGATCTCCCCACTGAGCTAGAGAGGCCAGTTGGACTGGGTGGTGTAACCATCGGGGGATGGGAGTGAGGAGGGAGAAGGGGTGAGTGGAAATCAAATGATTTTTGCATCAACAGGCTTTGGGAGTCAATTTCCATTTCCCAATGTTTGAAAGATGCTGTATAAATTAGATCTGGTATCCTGTGTGGGACACACTTCTTACCACCTACCTTCCACAGTGAAGATTCAATCTTGATTAGAAAAGAAATGGGCCATATCAAATGGGCCAAAGGTCAACTGTACAGCATCTCTTGTTGGCATGGGGCTACTTTCCAGTTTCTGGAAGCAGTCTCTAGAGTCTTGTTTTACTGCTGAAAACCCAGAGGCAATGGATATAAAAATAAAGAGGGAACATGAACCAGGTAGATTTTTGCTTCAAATTTGTTTACAAATCTGATTTAACATGATGACAAGCTGCCTAGGGGCCCATGGGTTTAGTGAGTAGTTTTGTTTCTCATTCAGAGAGCACTTACTGATGCTGACATGTATAGACTGTAAATACTCTTAAGAAGTCGGGCACAGAGAGTCACAGAAAGCTTCAGAGGACATTCAGGATCTAATCTGAGCCACAGAAGATGGGTAGGAAAATCCACATTCATTCCAAGTGGAAAACAAATAGAGCTCCCCTGTGGTCTTACCATATTCTCTGCCTCCCTCTGCCTAGATATGACAAATACTGTGCAGACCACTACGAAGACAACCATTGTGACCAGGGTTGCAACAGCGAGGAGTGTGGCTGGGATGGGCTGGACTGTGCTGCTGACCGGCCGGAAAACCTGGCAGAGGGCACCCTGGTCATCGTGGTGCTGATGCCACCAGAACAACTGCTCCAGGATGCCCGCAGATTCCTGCGGGCACTGGGCACCCTGCTCCACACCAACCTCCGCATCAAACGGGACGCCCAGGGGGAGCTCATGGTCTACCCCTATTATGGTGGGAAGTCAGCTGCCATGAAGAAGCAGAGATTGACACGCAGGTCCCTTCCTGGAGATCAAGAACCGGAAGTGGCTGGGTAGGTGTTTAATTTCTGAACTTCTTAAAGCTTAATTTGATCAAGCTGAGCACTTTGATACACAGATGTCATAACTGCAACTGCACCTATAAAGATGAAAGGTTGAAAACAAAACTGTCAACCAAGTAACACAAGCCTGTAATCCCAATCTTTGCGGTTAGTGCTAAAGGCTTGCCTTGATCTTGGACTCCTGAAAAGTGGACTGAAGCAAGTCAAGTGGCAGGATGTCAGAAAGGGCTCCTCATGTGCTGGAATCTCTAACTATTTGCCAGGGTTGGCGTAAATCCTTCTAGTGATATCTCCTCTTTATATTAATCCTGGGCTTCTTTTCAAAGCCCTTCATTTCTGTCTCTTTAACAAGGGTGATGTTCTGCATATATTATGTCGTCCACACTCAGGATTTTTTGGTATCTCACAATGTTCAGCTTGCTAGCTAGCTTGAGTACAGATGCAGAGAGAAAGGAGAGTAAGGAGCAAAAAGCAAAAGGCAGGGGTGTGTTTTCAGAGTAGCTGTGTGTACCGTCGAGTACACCGGAAGGGGGAAGGGATAGAAGCAGCCCACCAAAGGCAGCTTCACCCCATTTTCTCAATTTGTCTTATGTTTCCTAAAAGTCAGAACACTTAGAGGCAGCCAAACCAAGGAACGTGAAAGTTAGTCACTCAGTCATGTCCGACTTTTTGTGACCCCATGGACTGTAGCCCACCCTAAGTGAGAATTAGTGTTTAGGATGTAAACCATATCTTAATTTCCGGGATCTTCCTGGAGACAGCATCCCAGAGGTAGAGAGCCCGAGGCTAAGGGTGAGGAAAGGGGTCTACCTCAGATTCCTGGGTTGACATTTTCTCGCCATTTCTCCTTGGCTCCCCCCAGCTCTCAGGTATTTCTGGAGATTGACAACCGCCAGTGTGTTCAAGACTCAGACCAGTGCTTTAAGAACACAGATGCAGCGGCAGCTCTTCTGGCTTCCCACGCCATCCAGGGGACCCTGTCGTACCCACTTGTGTCTGTCGTCAGTGAGTAGCTCTGAAATTAGGGGAAGGTGTGCTGAGGTGTCACTTGCAGCAGAGAGAATGGGCACAGCCTACCATGCGCAGCTGTTTCTCGGGGCTCGTGAGCTCAGAGTCGTTCTCTGCAGGAGTTTAGTGGGATACTGAGAGGTGGATGTTTTATTCATCACTTTCCCTCTCTCTGCACTTTCAGGTGAATCTCTGATCCCGAAACCCACTCAGCTTCTCTACCTGCTTGCCGTTGCCGTCGTCATCATCTTGTTTATCATCCTGCTGGGCGTTATCATGGCAAAGCGAAAACGCAAGCACGGCTCCCTCTGGCTGCCTGAAGGCTTCACCCTTCGCCGCGACTCCAGCAACCACAAGCGTCGTGAGCCGGTGGGCCAGGATGCTGTGGGCCTCAAGTAAGAGCTTGTCAGCAAGCTGCTCTTCACAGTAATGACAAGTATGGATAGGCGGAAGATCAGCTCTTGTTGGATCGTGATTTTAAATTCAGAGCTCTGGCCATGCCGTGCTACTGTACCTGACCATGATGCTGAATGCCTGCTTGTGGCTATAAAATAAGAGTCTGGATGCTTCAGTTCTGTACATATTATCACAGTGATGCTCAGCTTCTGTTATGAGACACACCTTTGTTGTAAGCTCTTGCTTAGTGGGAAAGGAAATGATATTTACTCAGGCAATGGGATGTAATATTGCCCATTTTCCCCCTGGGTCGAGGTCCCTGAAAGTCTGACTGTAGCCATGATAGTGTGTGATGGTAGAAACATTATGAAAATTTCTACATTCTTTTATGGTTTAACCCTGCTCTTATTTTATACCTTCATGATTCTGTCATGTCAGAAATCTCTCAGTGCAAGTCTCAGAGGCTAACCTAATTGGTTCTGGAACAAGTGAACACTGGGTTGACGATGAAGGGCCCCAGCCTAAGAAAGCCAAGGTAAGCTGGCCATGGTAGAAGCACCATTATTAGCCATTGTCTGCTCATATTTCACAATTTTGTCCTCGGGTATCTAGAATATCATGAATGGGAGAGAACGGTGGTAGTCTGTACATGTTGCCCAGGCCTTGACTATCCTAGGTTGTCTCAAAAATCAGGAATATTTAGGTCATTGATGGCCTTGGGCTACTATGTAAGTTTTTCAGAAAGAACTCTTTAAAAATAATAAAACAAACATGCTTCCTTCCTCAAATGTCATGTTGGTGGTACTTGAATAAGGACTATTAATGTGTAAACACCAGTTTCTTTCAAGTCTAGATCTCGCCCTTATTCTCTCTGGATACTTCAAGGGAAGGTGGAATTAGTCAGTGGAGGAAAGCCAGTGATCACTGAGTTTGGAGGCTTTAAGTCTTGATCCCTGGAAACTAAAGCCAGATAGCAGTAAGAGGTACATTGGGCTGAGTCTGACATGAAAAAGGAGACCATTCACCCATAGACATACGTGGCTGGGATATGCATGTATCCCACAGATATTCAGAGGAAATAAATGCTTGAGGAATACAGGCTTGATGGTTAAGAAAATTACTACAGTCAGGACTAGATTCAGGTCCAAAACTCCGGCACATTATTTAACCTCTTCGTATTTACTTATCCTTAATCTGTAAGATAGGGAAAATAATAATGATTCTTTCAATACGGGTGAATTGCCTTACTTGTTTTCTATAACATACTGAATATTCCGTAGAAGTCAGCTGCTTTTAAAAGTATAATAATTATTCAGCAAATACTTCCTAAATGCTGGCTCTGTGCTGGGCACTGGGGTGGAGACAGGGTACAAAGAGGCAACCTTGAACGAGGCTTGCTCCCTGTCCTAAGGAACCTTTCAGGTAGCAGTGGAAACTGCCATGCAATGCTGTGTAAGTACCTAACACAACGCTTAGTTAAGGAGGGTGAGCAGTGTGTGCTCTTTAGAACCAATAAGAGGAACTAAGGTCTGCTTCCTACTTGAAGTTAGTCAATCAAAGAATTGGGAGAGATCCTGGGGCTGGGCCAGAGTGATCAGGAGAGTTGTCTTCTTTCAGGCTGAAGATGAGGCTTTGCTCTCAGAAGAAGATGACCCCATCGATCGGCGTCCATGGACACAGCAGCACCTGGAAGCTGCAGACATCCGTAGGACACCATCGCTGGCTCTCACCCCTCCACAGGCAGAGCAGGAGGTGGATGTGCTGGATGTGAATGTCCGCGGTCCAGGTCAGTGCCTGCGAGCCTTCTCTCTTCACTGTGCCATGCCCATCCCCTGGTTCCACCTTATCCCTGTGTTTGCCCCACTCAATGACCAAGGAAATCAGACTGGAAATCAGCTTGAGGAAATGAATGTCTAAGGAAAACAGGCTTGCAGAAATTACGAATTGGTATGAGAAAAGAGGCAGGATTTCATTTGCTTCACCTTCTGCATGCATACGTGCTAAGTTGCTTCAGTCGTGTCCGCCTCTTTGCAGCCCCATGGACTGTAGCCTGCCAGGCTCCTCTGTCCATGGAATTCTCCAGGCAAGAATACTGGAGTGCGTTGCCATGCCCTCCTCCAGGGGATCTTCCTGACTGAGGGATCGAACCCGCCTCGCTTGCATTGCAGGCAGGTTCTTTACCACTGAACCACCAGGGAAGCCCTCACATAATGCATGTTCAGCAACAAAAAGGCTAATTTTTTGGGATAGATTTTAGTGGGATAAAAAAAATAATATCCCAAAGCCGAGGAATAGAGAATTTGTTTAGTTTGTACCTTAACATATATAGTTTATTAATACTGGATATTTTAAAATGTTGTCCAATTTAAAAAAGCATAGCACTTAGAAACTTGAACAGAAAAGCTTATTTAACTTAGAGACTAGCTCCTCTTTACAGAAAGGATACTATCAAGGAAAAATCAATTGCCACTTATCACAAGAAGCACAGGGTTTTTTCCGAACTAATAATTTTGTTCAAATTGAGCTCTTTCAGCAGTAGGGTTAAGTGAACATGAATGTCTTTCCCCTCCTTGAATACTATTTGGAATTTCCCTTTCCTCCAGATGGGTGCACCCCACTGATGCTGGCTTCTCTCCGAGGAGGCAGCTCAGACATGAGTGATGAAGATGAAGATGCAGAGGACTCTTCTGCCAACATCATCACGGACTTAGTGTACCAGGGTGCCAGCCTTCAAGCACAGACAGACCGGACGGGTGAGATGGCCCTGCATCTCGCAGCCCGGTACTCAAGGGCAGATGCTGCCAAGCGTCTCCTGGATGCAGGTGCAGATGCCAATGCCCAGGACAACATGGGCCGCTGCCCTCTCCACGCCGCAGTGGCCGCGGACGCCCAAGGGGTCTTCCAGGTAGAGATCATGTGAAGATTTGATTCCTGATGAGTCTAGAATGTTTTCCCAGCATTAAGACACATAATAACCCATTGTGTTTTTCAGTGATTCTTTGAGAGAATAAGGCAGATGATAGAGCCATGCTTGCTGGATAGGAAAGCAGGAAAGGGAGGCAGGAGACAAGGCTGACCATATACAGCCAGCTCAGGGTAAAGCAGATACCGCGAGTCTTCTGATTGTTAGTCAGTGCTTTGGTTTTTGTTTGTTTGTTTTGTTTTTGATGAGGCAGAATACCTCCCAGATGAAAAGATCAGGTGCATGACACCTGCCTCTGACTAGTAGTCAGTCAGCTTCTCCCTCTACATTTATCTGACTGTGCGGGCTTCCAGCTGCTCCTTGGTGGTTTTCTTGACATGAGTTCACAGTGCAAACCTGATGTCCTATTATTTTAGCCTTATGAGGAAATTGAAAGCATTCTGTATCATCTTAACTTGTACACCATAATTGAGGTTGTGGTATTCTCCCATATTCCCTCTTCTTTCTTTAGAAAGCAGAAGTATGTTAATTTACAAAGCCACTGTAGAGCTTGAGTTTGTTTGTATATTCATTCATCCTATTCCTTTATTCATTCATTCAACAAATATTAGTTGACTGACCCTAGGAGAACCTGGACACGAAGATAGCAAAACATTCCCTGCCCTCCAGGAACTTACAGTGTAGCCTCAACTCTGATGCTCTTATGTCTGTCTTATCTTAGCTTCATTATTTTTTGTATTCGACTGACTCTCTTTTCTGTACTTTCTCGTGTTCTAGATTCTGATCCGCAACCGAGTAACTGATCTAGATGCCAGGATGAATGATGGCACTACACCCCTGATCCTGGCTGCCCGCCTGGCTGTGGAGGGAATGGTGGCAGAACTAATCAACTGCCAAGCAGATGTGAATGCAGTGGATGACCATGGTAGGGATGAGAAGCAGGAATTCAGATTCCTACCTGCAAAGCAGGCCTCTAAGGAAAGAAATTGTTGCATGATCCTTAAAGAGCTGTCTCAGATCCAAATCCACTGAACATTCATTCATTCATTCCGTCTTTGTTTTGCAATATTGAGTTCAGAGATCTGAGACAGTGTGAAGTCCACAGATGAAGTTGTGAAGGGATTTTTAGTGAGAGTTCTTGGATCTCAGAGCAGGTCTATGAGAGGTTTCACTGAGTAGGTTCTCAGGTATACCACTCTTGTTATGAGGATATGAGAGCTGACTTCACGGAAGGGGTACAGTGGTGAGATATTCTAACTATATATCCTGGCATGTAATAAATAAGCAGGATATTGCCTTCAGCATGTGACAGGGTCGATTATGCCACACAAAGGATGTGGTACCATAGACAGATGATCCTTTTACTTAGAGGTCTTCTGAAAGCTAGGCAGCCTGTACCAAAGTATTTCTAGAATAGGGGAAAATGAAGATAATACATTGGTTTTTCCTGTGGGCCCCCAGAGAGAACTGGCTTCCAGCTGTCGTCTGAGAAGTTCAAGGTTTCCTTGTACAAGTCATGACACTTCCTGATGGGAGGAGTAGGACATGGCCTGTTACTCTGTCTGCTTATAAAAATGTTTTTTCTCTGCAGGAAAATCTGCCCTCCACTGGGCAGCTGCTGTGAATAATGTGGAGGCAACCCTTTTGCTGTTGAAAAATGGGGCCAACCGGGACATGCAGGACAACAAGGTACAGTCTGGGCTCTGAGCTGGGGCCAGGTTCAGCAGCGCCTTGGGTTATGTATGAGGCTATTCCTTTTCTCCTGTAGCCGCTCTGTAGGAAGGATCGACAACGATGGAAGCAGACTGAGCAAGAAGTGGGTCCAGAGAGCCTGAGTGCTTGCATTGGACTTATCCAGTGAAGTGTCAGGGTTGACCCTTAGCCTGCTCAGTCTGCACCAGGCTGTCCCTTTGATAACTTTGATGTAACCTTTCTGTGTTTCCTTCTTTGACATTTCCCTTTCTCCTGGTCTTTGTTCTGTTCACACACACTTCCTTCCTTTTCACTTGTTTGTTCTTATTTGTTTTCCTGATGCTCCACATCCACCACCCCTGCCCCGTTCTTGGGTTCCATGATGTTTTCCTGCTTCCTCTGACTTCTATGTCATGCTTCCCTCTCTTGCTCACCTTCTCTTCTCTTGTTCATTTCCTCTTTTCCATTATTTTGTTCTTTGTCTCAGATGTTTTGTCTTTCTTTCACTTTCCCTTATTTTTCTCAGTTCTCTACATGCTTTAGCTTCTTCCCCTCATACCTTTTATTTCTGTTACTCCTTTTAGAACCCTATTTTGATAAGCTCAGTGCTCTTGCAGGTGAATTTATGGCTCAGGGATGTGCTTTATTTCATACTTTCCCCACTAAGGAGACGTAGCCCTCAGTAGGGCAAAGCTGGCTCTTGGGGAGGAGTAAAATAATTTTTCTTTATGTATAAATTACAGATAGCCATTCTGTACATAGGTAGGTGCACACTTTTTATCTGTGGTGTTAAATTTTCATGTGGGAAGGCAGTTAGGAAAAAATGTCTGAAGGAGTGATACAGAAAGATTGAGAAATATGGCTGTATCCTCAGGAGTGTTGTTAAAATGCGCTCTGCATGGGCTTTTTCTTTTTTTTCTGTAGGAGGAGACACCCCTGTTTCTTGCTGCCCGGGAGGGGAGCTATGAAGCAGCCAAGATCCTGTTAGACCATTTTGCCAATCGGGACATCACAGACCACATGGATCGTCTTCCCCGGGACGTGGCCCGGGACCGCATGCACCACGACATCGTGCGCCTGCTGGACGAGTACAACGTGACCCCCAGCCCTCCCGGCACAGTGCTGACTTCTGCGCTCTCACCCGTCATCTGTGGGCCCAACAGACCTTTTCTCAGTCTGAAGCATACCCCAATGGGCAAGAAGTCTAGACGGCCTAATACCAAGAGTGCCGTGCCCACTAGCCTCCCTAACCTTGCCAAGGAGGCCAAGGATGCCAAGGGGAACAGGAGGAAGAAGTCTCTGAGTGACAAGGGCCAGCTGTCCGAGAGCTCAGTGACTCTGTCCCCCGTCGATTCCCTAGAATCTCCTCACACATATGTTTCTGACACCACCTCCTCTCCAATGATCACATCTCCCGGAATCTTACAGGCCTCCCCCAACCCCATGCTGGCCACTGCCACCCCCGCTGCCCCAGTCCATGCACAGCATGCACTGTCTTTCTCTAACCTTCATGAGATGCAGCCCTTGGCTCATGGGGCCAACACTGTGCTTCCCTCGGTGAGCCAGCTGCTGTCCCACCACCACATTGTGCCCCCAGGCAGCAGCACTGCAGGGAGCTTGGGTAGGCTACATCCAGTCACTGTCCCGGCCGACTGGATGAACCGCGTGGAGATGAATGAGAGCCAGTACAACGAGATGTTCGGTATGGTCCTGGCTCCAGCTGAGGGCACCCATCCTGGCATAGCTCCCCAGAGCAGGCCGCCCGAAGGGAAGCATTTAACCACCCCTCGAGAGCCCTTGCCCCCCATTGTGACTTTCCAGCTCATCCCCAAAGGCAGCATTGCCCAACCAACTGGGGCTGCCCAGCCTCCGTCCAACTGCCCTCCAGCCGTTGCAGGCACCCTGCCCACCATGTATCAGATTCCAGAAATGGCTCGCTTACCCAGTATGGCTTTTCCCACTGCCATGATGCCCCAGCAGGACGGGCAGGTTGCTCAGACCATTCTCCCAGCCTATCACCCCTTCCCAGCCTCCGTGGGCAAGTATCCCACACCCCCGTCACAGCATAGCTATGTTTCCTCCAATGCTGCTGAGAGAACGCCCAGTCACAGTGGTCACCTCCAGGGTGAGCATCCCTACCTGACACCGTCCCCAGAGTCTCCTGACCAGTGGTCAAGTTCATCACCCCACTCTGCTTCTGACTGGTCAGATGTAACCACCAGCCCCACTCCTGGGGGCGCTGGAGGAGGTCAACGGGGACCTGGGACACACATGTCTGAGCCACCACGCAGCAACATGCAGGTCTATGCATGAAAGAGTCTGCCTCCAGCCTAGACACAGAACTCCTCTTGTAAATGCTGCTGAGGAACAAATGAAGGTCATCCGGGAAAGAAATGAAGAAATCTCTGGAACCAGCTTCTGAAGGCAGGAGAGAGGAGAGGCTGTTATCTTGTAGATAATATGAAGAAGCGAGTTCATTAGCTTCACTGTGCATCTGTGGGGTTTGGGGAACATGGAAGGGACAAGGCTCCTTGTAATCTCTTGCCCGTCAAGTCCCCAAGTTCACAGAACTGCAAGATGAATACAAGACTTGGGACCGCATTTCCTCTCTTCAATACAGAGAATAAGATGGATGCCTGTTGTAGACATTCTTGCAGCCTGGAGTGCATTTTTCAGCCTTGGGGGCTTCTGCCATATCCATGAGAAGATTCTGCAATAGATTCCTACGGGGAATTGTGCCCTGGAATTCTTCCAGATGTGACCTGTCTCCTATTCTTATCCTTGGAAAATTCTTTTGACTTCATTTGGTGCTTTAATTGTGCACCTCTCTGTGGCTGGAACCCCACCTGCATGTTCCAGAGCAGGACCTTTGTGCTTTGAATCATGCCTGCTCTGGAGGCACCTGCAGCCTCCCCTTTCCCTCCTGTTTTCCCAGTGTCCCTAGGAGCCTCATGGGGTTTACCTTTATGGTCCCAGCAGAAACCTTTCAAGTATGTTTCTTTAGAAAATGGACATAGTCCTTTCTCCTACATATCATTCTTTAAAAGAAGGGGAGCAAAATATTTTTCTTTGAACCCATTTAGGGGACCAGGACCCCCTTCAAGAAGCTGCGCCTAAATTCTCTTGCCTACATTCTGGTTCCTACAAACCTTACCAGGAAGAAAAGTAAGGATCTTCTTTTTTTTCCATTTGTCTGCCTAGTAAGTGTGAAGGTTTATCCTTGGCAGTGTAGCTAATATGACCCCTTTAAAAAAACAAAACCCAAACAGACCAAGGTTTAGAATGTTGGAATGACCAAGAGAGCCAAGAGATAAGCTGACTCATTCAAGAAGTGATTACCCACTAACCGGTCCCTGCCAAGCATTCTGTTGACTGCCAACATCAAACACGTTGTTACAGGCCTTAGAACCCTTGGCCTGCTTCACTCACACATCCAGCAGATGAAGACTGTTGTAATTGTTGAGCCTTCAAACGACATTCCCTTGCCATTTAGAACTGAACTTTCGTCTGCTGAAGGGCCTCCTCCTCAACCCCTTTGACAGTCATCTTCCCCTAGTCAGGTGGTCACAATCTCTACTTCCTGACATTCCTTCTGATCCCAGGCCCCTTCACCTATCTTCCTGCCACACTTTGTGGTCTGATTACTGGTGCACCCAGTAACACCTGGGTTTTCTGTGTTCAAGTGTGGGAAATAGAATCCTGGCCTAGTTTCTGTGGCCAAAGCCAGTCTTACAAGAAGGTTGGAAAGGGAGGAATTATGAGGTAGCCTTTGCTATTTTCTGCTCCCAGTTCCTTTTCTTTCAGGCGGTCATGAAATTTCCCACTAGGCAAGTAACATAGACACTTATCAGGGATATTTTCCTCTCATAGAGTCACCTTCTAGATGATAATGGGCAAAAATAGACTTACTGTCTTGTCATCTTAATGTTCAGAGTGTGATTGCATCTCACCCAAGTCTGCTTCCTGTATTTTTGGTCTTGGCAACTTTTTTGACCCTCTGTCAAGGACATGCATTCTATCCAACACTAGAAAGAGGAGAAAAGTAGTTTTAATTCCTCTTCTCCCTGAGTTAGCTAACAACTGGTTCTGTCTCCACACTGTCACTTTTGCCCGGTGCTATGATATCATGACAATGGAAAATTAGTTCTTCTGGGGGCATTTTGTAGATATTAATAGGTGGTCTGCCCACTCTGTGTTGGCTTCAATGATAGTTTTCCTTACTGCCTTGCCTGAGAGTGTTCATCAGTTCTTCCCATTTACCAGATTTATCTGTCCATGGCTTCATATGGAAACCCTATGTGTCTTTTAGCATGGAAGTCTACAAAGAGTTTTTCTAGTCCTGCCCAAGTTCACTGAACTAAAAATATAATTCATTTTCCCCTGATATAAGCAGATTATTTTTTCACTCTGTATTTTATTCTCTCACGTGGCAACTCTACCAACCCCTTTCATAGGGTGAAGCATTTTATCATTCTGAATGGTGATTCTTTATCCTTGGACCTATTCGTTGATTCACAGATGGGGAGGACCCGTCTCCATGGACCACTATGGACCTCACCACATCTACACTTCTCTGTCATCCCATTCTGGCCCCCCTTCTTCAGAGTGTCAGCTCTGATCCAGCAGCTTGATCCCTCATAGCTTCCTCCGTCTGTAAGCACACTGTGGGCCTAACTTGCTCCTCTTTGGGATCCTTTGGGTTTTGCAGAAATAAATATGAAAGCTGCCATTATAAACAACAGGCTTCAGTGATAAGGAAGAAGACACTGCCTTTCAAGCATTTATCAGTCACTTAGATTGTTAAGAACCTGTGAGTTGTATTGAGTAAAAGAGAAAATAAGATGAAGAATCACTTTCTCATCTGGGTTCTGAAGTAGAGACTTAAGTTTGTATGGGAAACATCTTTTATGACAGGTCTAGGTCACCCTCTTTGCCCCTCACATTCTTGTTTTATCTTTATAATCAACCCCTTTGACAGTCATCTTCCCCTAGTCAGGTGGTCACAATCTCTACTTCCTGACATTCCTTCTGATCCCAGGCCCCTTCACCTATCTTCCTGCCACACTTTGTGGTCTGATTACTGGTGCACCCAGTAACACCTGGGTTTTCTGTGTTCAAGTGTGGGAAATAGAATCCTGGCCTAGTTTCTGTGGCCAAAGCCAGTCTTACAAGAAGGTTGGAAAGGGAGGAATTATGAGGTAGCCTTTGCTATTTTCTGCTCCCAGTTCCTTTTCTTTCAGGCGGTCATGAAATTTCCCACTAGGCAAGTAACATAGACACTTATCAGGGATATTTTCCTCTCATAGAGTCACCTTCTAGATGATAATGGGCAAAAATAGACTTACTGTCTTGTCATCTTAATGTTCAGAGTGTGATTGCATCTCACCCAAGTCTGCTTCCTGTATTTTTGGTCTTGGCAACTTTTTTGACCCTCTGTCAAGGACATGCATTCTATCCAACACTAGAAAGAGGAGAAAAGTAGTTTTAATTCCTCTTCTCCCTGAGTTAGCTAACAACTGGTTCTGTCTCCACACTGTCACTTTTGCCCGGTGCTATGATATCATGACAATGGAAAATTAGTTCTTCTGGGGGCATTTTGTAGATATTAATAGGTGGTCTGCCCACTCTGTGTTGGCTTCAATGATAGTTTTCCTTACTGCCTTGCCTGAGAGTGTTCATCAGTTCTTCCCATTTACCAGATTTATCTGTCCATGGCTTCATATGGAAACCCTATGTGTCTTTTAGCATGGAAGTCTACAAAGAGTTTTTCTAGTCCTGCCCAAGTTCACTGAACTAAAAATATAATTCATTTTCCCCTGATATAAGCAGATTATTTTTTCACTCTGTATTTTATTCTCTCACTTGGCAACTCTACCAACCCCTTTCATAGGGTGAAGCATTTTATCATTCTGAATGGTGATTCTTTATCCTTGGACCTATTCGTTGATTCACAGATGGGGAGGACCCGTCTCCATGGACCACTATGGACCTCACCACATCTACACTTCTCTGTCATCCCATTCTGGCCCCCCTTCTTCAGAGTGTCAGCTCTGATCCAGCAGCTTGATCCCTCATAGCTTCCTCCGTCTGTAAGCACACTGTGGGCCTAACTTACTTGCTCCTCTTTGGGATCCTTTGGGTTTTGCAGAAATAAATATGAAAGCTGCCATTATAAACAACAGGCTTCAGTGATAAGGAAGAAGACACTGCCTTTCAAGCATTTATCAGTCACTTAGATTGTTAAGAACCTGTGAGTTGTATTGAGTAAAAGAGAAAATAAGATGAAGAATCCCTTTCTCATCTGGGTTCTGAAGTAGAGACTTAAGTTTGTATGGGAAACATCTTTTATGACAGGTCTAGGTCACCCTCTTTGCCCCTCACATTCTTGTTTTATCTTTATAAATTCTTCCTTTGAGTCATCTTCTGTCTGCCTTTGGGGATATATTTTTTGTTTGTTTCTTTTGTTTTATTTTAAGCATCATTTTCTGATTTACATGTTGGTGAGGGAGGGAGAGGTTTGAGGGAAAGAGAGAGTGAGAGTTAAAGATTTTATGTAAGCAATCAGCTATGATGCACAAGTCCATTCTCATCATTATTAAGTTTGCTAGTTCATAATTCTTGCATAAAAGAGAACCAAAGGTATAATATTCTGTTGGCAAGTGGTTTGGGGATTTTGGCCTTAACTAATATACTGAATGTATGATGACTGAGAGGACAAGTTTATATGCCCAGAGGCTCCCACTCATAACTGTTTGGTACTGTGGCTTCTTACTTGTGTACATTTCTCTTAAAAGTGATATGATATCTGTTTGTATGAGAAACCCAATAACCAATAAAATGACTGCATATTCCTAACTATACATGGTAAGGAAAATGCACAATTTGTTTTTAATTTTCAAAGTTTCATTCTAAAAGTAGTTACGACAAAATTTATATGGAAGCATTTTTATCATAAAATAAAAAAGTTACATGTCAAGCTCAACAGACATTGCAGTTTTTATTTTCCATTCTTCATCCCTACTTTGCAATGATTTAACTCATAATGTCATAATTTGCTGAAAGAGAAAACATTTTCTTTTCATTCTGAATCCCATATAGCCTAGCACTAGTGTTTTTTTTCTTTCTCCAATGTCACGGTCTTTGTAGACCGGAACCTGGGGACTGGAGTTAACGAGAAGAGGGATGCAGGGGACCCAAGTCTCAAGTGAAACAAGGGTGCTTTATTTGCAGAAATGTATGTTTATATACCTTCATACAAGGCAGCTTTAGGCAGTAAAAAAAATTGAGCAAAAACAGAGCCAAGCAAATAACAATCTTTAAAGGACCAGAAAGCATTCCGTATCTTGAGTAAGATACGGAATAGCATAACTGAATTGAGTAAGCATAACTGAATAGATTACATTTAAGTAAGGTCACCGAAGGCAGTCACTGAAGGGAGTCACTGAAAGGAATCCAAGCAGGTGCCCCTTCTCATGATCTCAGTCCTGAGAACTGCATGCAGCTTTGCTCATTCCTGTTTTCCAGGAACTGATAATAGAAAATCCTTGAGAAACAGCATACAAAAGGAAAAAATAACATATTGGATCCCTTAAAGCTAAACATCCCCTGACACTACAAGTAGTAGTAGTTCAGTCACTCAGTTGTGTCCGACTCTTTGTGATCCACAGACTGCAGCACACCAGGGCTCCCTGTCCATCACCAACTCCCAGGGCTTGCTCAAACTCATATCCATCAAGCCAGTGATGCCATGCAACCATCCCATCCTCTATCATCCCCTTCTCCTCCTGCCTTCAGTCTTTCCCAGCATCAGAGTCTTTTCTAATGAGCCAGTTCTTCACATCAGGTGGCCAAAGGATTGGAGTTTCAACTTCAGCATCAGTCCTTCCAGTGAATATTTAGGACTGTTTTCCTTTAGGATTGACTGGTTGGATCTCCTTGCAGTCCAAGGGACTCTCAAGNTATAACATAAGGAATAGTTACTATGATTACGACTGGTCTCTGTGAAATATCTAGTCCAAGTTTCAAGTTTTTCAGTACTCGCAGCAAGTTTCCAGATGTCCCATTGCTCAGGCCCAATCTGTTTGTTGAGGACGATTCAAGGGCAAGGAGGTGCTGTTCCACCGTCAAGCCAGCCAAGGAGTCCTTTGTCGTGGAAGTGTTTCATCGAACTGTTGGTAACCATCTATGTTACTTGAGTAACATAATCACACATAGTACTGTTAATATCATCTGAGCAGTTAGATAAGCACATACCATAGCGTCCCCAATTAACAATGGTGTAATTGGCCACAAACATTAATTTCCCTGATTTAGCTTGATATCAATCCCAATAAACAGGAGTATATTTAAAGTCCTTATAAGTAAACCCCTTACATTCCAACTTTTTTCCTTTTCCTAGAATTTTGCTAGTACTGACATGGTTCTCATAAAAGGACAGGGCAGTAAACAGTCGAAGCAATGTGTGGAGGTTCTCTTTTGGAGGTAGGACGAAAGTCCACTTTTGTTGACGAACATTAATACATAATTCTGTTGGGTCCATGCATAAAGGAAGGATTTAATAGCCTAGAGAAATGTTAGTCTTCCTTCTTTCTCAGGATGAGAGGGCCCCTCCAAGTTCAAGGAGAAGGTACATGTACTGAGTCATTAGTGGGTATGATCTGTCCTATGTCTGTCCATTTTATAACCTTCAATAAAGGGTGGTTAGGTATATAAGCCCAATAAGTGTGATTAATCAAGTCAGCCTGAGCGGGGGAAGCAATAGCAAGCAAAGCAAGCATAGCGACAAAAATATGTTCAGGATTCCGAGGCATCCCCTGTTGAGAAACCAGATTTTCAGCTTGATTAGTGAGGGTTTTTAATCTGTCCCCAAATAGGGAGATCATAAGGTCGATGGCGTCGAGTGCAGTGTTTCATGGAAATTTTTAAAGCCGCCATGGCTTGTACTGGAAACTCCTCCTCCTGGCATTTTGCCCTTTCTTCTCTATCTTGAATGCCAGCGGCTCCCCTGGGGCAGGTCTTACGAAGAGGGAGCTAACTGATTTCATTGGATCCATCTGGAGAAATACAAGCATACCCCTTTCCCTGTAATATTAATTTCCAGATTTCCATTGTTCAGTCAACCCATCCTGATACCAAATGGTCAGAGGGAGGGAGGTGTCCTTCAATGCTTCAAAATGTTTTTCTGTTTTTGTCAAAATATCTCCTTGCGGTAAGTTAAAAGAATTTAAAACAAATAAAGCTGTATTAACAATAGTTATAGGCTTAAAGAACATATTGCATTGGAATCTAGTAAAGTCTGCTCTGGATAAGGAAGATAAGAAAGATAGAAGTGTTCCTTTGTATTCCCCCTTTAAAATTTTTTTTATTTGTAGTTTCAGTGTGTGATGAGTTTGTTTAACTATATCTTGTGTTTGTGGATTATAAGGAATGTCTGTAATATGTTTAATAGAAAATGATTGTAAAAATTGTTTGAATTGTCTAGAAATATAGGCAGGGCCATTGTTTTTATACAACTAGGTGTTTCTATTATTGCAAAGCAAGCTAACAGGTGGGTTATAACAGGTGGGTTTTAACATGTCGTGTTATATATATAACAGGTGGGTTATAACATGTCGAGGCTTCACCTCGGAGAGGTGTGGCCCATATAAAAGAAGAATTTGTATCGATTGAGA